AAAAAAAAGGCAGAAATCCTCAAATCCAGAGCCTCGGTTGAGCCAGATGTGAATAATGGTAGTGGGAATCTCTAGGCACGACACGATTCGATTGGATAAAACAAGTTTCTCACACCGCATATCCGGTAGACCGGTACAATGAAGCCTGCGATTGCCCTTGTGATTTGCTTCAACCTTCTCGAAATGCATAAAAGATTATTTTATAGAAGGTTTGAGGGTTTTTGTGTGTGCATGTGTGGAATTTATCATCGGAGGACAAAAATGAAACTCAGAATCCTTGAAGAAAGAACTGAGATTTTTTTCTCCCACCTCTAGTTGCAAAAAAAATAAGCAGACTCCTTTTGTACAATGACATGAGGGCATGTAAGTTTACTATAATTTTTTGTTGTTGGGTGAACTATTTCTCTACACAAATTTAAAAATGTGACGATACCAGCATTTCGAGCGCTGTTGTACAGATTCTTAAAACACCTCTGATTGGCCATTGTGTTCACGCGCTCAACATGTCTCTGATTGGCCATTGTGTTCACGCGCTCAACATATATGTCTCTGATTGGCCATTGTGTTCACGCGCTCAACATATATGTCTCTGATTGGCCATTGTGTTCACGCGCTCAACATATATACTGATTGGCCATTGTGTTCACGCGCTCAACATATATGTCTGTGATTGGCCATTGTGTTCACGCGCTCAACATATATGTCTCTGATTGGCCATTGTGTTCACGCGCTCAACATATACGTCTCTGATTGGCCATTGTGTTCACGCACTCAACATATATGTCTCTGATTGGCCATTGTGTTCACGCGCTCAACATATATGTCTCTGATTGGCCATTGTGTTCACGCACTCAACATATATGTCTCTGATTGGCCATTGTGTTCACGCACTCAACATATATGTCTCTGATTGGCCATTGTGTTCACGCGCTCAACATATATGTCTCTGATTGGCCATTGTGTTCACGCGCTCAACATATATGTCTCTGATTGGCCATTGTGTTCACGCGCTCAACATATATGTCTCTGATTGGCCATTGTGTTCACACGCTCAACATATATGTCTGTGATTGGCCATTGTGTTCACGCGCTCAACATATATGTCTCTGATTGGCCATTGTGTTCACGCGCTCAACATATATATCTCTGATTGGCCATTGTGTTCACGCGCTCAACATATATGTCTCTGATTGGCCATCGTGTTCACGCGCTCAACATATATGTCTCTGATTGGCCAATGTGTTCACACGCTCAACATATATGTCTCTGATTGGCCATTGTGTTCACGCGCTCAACATATATGTCTGTGATTGGCTACAATGATCAACAGTTACTGCGTTTACATGCAGCCAATAACCCGTTCAAAACCGGGATATTAGCAATAACCCGGTCGTGAACGGCCATGTAAACACCGGCAAAAACCCGGATATGCTCATATTCCGGATTTTAAAAACCGGGATATTATACCTGGGGTACCCCTTTTCTAACCCGAATTTTTGGTCATGTAAACGCGCATCGGGATATCCCCATAGTGATTTGTGTTCTGCGCATGTTCTATTCGCAAGGAATCTTGGTCTTTTGAGTAGAGGAACTTCTCGGCGCATACAAAAATCCGCTTGCAGAATACCGGAAGTAAACATGGCGAGACGCAGCACAGCATACTTTTGGAGCGAGGTCAGTAACGTTACCAGCATCAAAGCGCAAACAAAGGCGATCGCTATCTGCCCCGAACTATTCATTATCCGGGTGCTGCTGTTGTTGTTGTCTTTGGATACAGGAAGAAGAATCGGAAATGACGCATATTGCGTCAAGGTTGTCCGTACGTCCAGACGCTAACCGCGCTTCGCCGTTTACATCGGGATATTGCAATTCCATGTATACAGGAGAAACTCTCTCTGCTCACGCATGTAAACGGGAATGTTTCAGAAACCCGAATAGTAACCTTAACCCGACCATAACCCGAAAATTGGCTGCATGTAAACGTAGTGAATGACATCTTTGACGCTCTTCACTGAGGGTTTAAACACAGATACACACGGGAGCGCTTAAAAGCAGGCATAATACCTAATATATCCGCTGATAGACGCTGCTTTCAAACGCTCCCGTGTGTATCTGTGTAAGCGCTCAATGAAGTGCGTCAAAGACAACATGTTTTTGAAGCGATGATCATTGTAGCCAATCACAGACATATAAGTTGAGCGCGTGAACACAATGGCCAATCAGAGGTGTTTAAGAATCCATTCAACAGAACTCAAAATGCTAGAGGAAAATGCTGGTTTCGTCACATTTTTTCAATTTCAGTACCGACTTGGTACCGATGTCTGTCCTTTTGACAACTCTAACTCACGCAATACTCTATTTCTGCACATAACGAATCAAACATATTGATGACTCATGTTGCAGTAAACAGATTTCCATCCAATCAAATGATCTTTACAAGGAGATTATGATAATGTCCCTCCCCCAATTCCACCTGTCTCCAAATTAGCTAGCTAGCTCAACTTCCTGTTTTAATAGAAAACATAGATTTACAATTAATAACAATATATTTTTGTCTGTTTCTCACACAACGCTACTATATGGCTTTAAAAGACTTAGAATAGAAAAGTCTTTGACTTTCTTCCATAGAACAATGGACAAATGTACAACAAGTTTGGAAAGACATGAGGGTGAGTGAATGATGACAGAACTTATTTTAGAGTGACCCGTCCCTTAAAAAAGTGCTAATGTGTAACACACAAAAGCGTATCCCTTTGTTCACTGGCTGACAGAGTTGACCGCTTACACTGATCACATTGTTGTTTTCCCTCGTTCCTTCACTTTCTCCAACTCAGCCACACAATTCCTCACACACAGACACAGCCAGTGGGGAAATCCGATGCAACGCTGGCTTCACACATTACACAATTGTCCATTCAGCTGGAGACAGAGACAGAGGGGCACAACGAGCAAAGCGTAAGACAAAAAAAAGAAAAAAAAGAAAAAAAAAGACTAACCCCACACACACACTCTTTCACTACACCACACATTTACGACACACAAACCGCTGTGTGTAACATTAACCCTTTGCCGGTCCAGCAATTCAGTTTGCTCAGGTTACACAACCCATACAAACACAGCGCCCAAGTGCAACGTCCAAGTGCTTTGCGATGCCAACTCTCACTCATTCACTCTCTCTCTCTCTCTGAATGCTGGGTAATAATCCAGGGGCCTTTCAATGATGAGTAAGCCAATCTGCCCGACTGCAAAGTCATAGGGAACAGAAGTGCTGGCACTGTTAAAACACAGCCAGGCCAAGATTGGTCACCTACACGCACCATGTAAAATCATTCAAGGGTTTCATAGTCTGGATAGCAGAGATGCTTTATCCAAAAAACAGGCAGAACAGAACAAAACACAGGCTTGAGGAAAATACTGCAAATATTTGACAGCACGCTCGGTTTTGAACAGGCAAATTGCCCTTTTGACATTGTGCATTGTGAAAGGAACAAAATAGATGACTCTTTATACAAATTAGAGCTGCATGATTAACCGTTAAAAGATTGTGGTCTCGATTCAAACACCCACACGATCTCATTCCTAAATGACAATGTTTATTGCCTGTTTATCCCAGAAGTTTATAGTTTGGATATAAACACTGACGTCTACGGTAGTGATCAAAATAGACCAAATCAGCTTTTGAAAGTAACTTGGCTCTTCAAATAACGGTTGTGTTGATTACATAGTTACACCAGTAGGTGGCGGCAAGTGACTGTTAGAAAACGTATGTGTCATTGAATCATTCATTCAAGAATTTAAAAAAAAATAATCCATTTTAGTTAATGAAACATTTTTTAATAGACTGCAGCAATTATCATTGTCAGAACCTCTAGAAAATTACATGTTATTTTGATCAGTTTGTGTTCAGAATCATGGTTGAAAAAAAAAAAAATCATGATTCTCAATTTATCCAGAATCCAAAAGATATTTTTTTAACATAAATTTGTATTCTTAAGAACAATTATTTAGTAGTGCTGTCAAATTAATGAATCACATCTAACATAAAAGTTTGTAAATATATATATTTATGTGTGTATATACACACATTATATATTTACTAACTTCTATGTTAGATGTGACTAATATCGTTTTTATTTCGTTTTTTCAGGAATACAAAATAAAAAGGTATAAATAAAATTAAAGTAAAATTTTGCTAACTTTTCCTTAAATTATAAAACAAAACATACAGTAGAAATGAAGGATATTTATTCATAAGAATATTTCGTAAATCAAGTCTCTAGTTTAGCGTAAATATGTGACATTTAATTGTATCTATGACTGCATTGTGATTGCTTAAAATGAGCAACACACCTTTACTCAAAAATACACGTTTTGACTGCTTGAGTAAGCCGACCAGGGGTGCGTTTCCCAAAACCATAGTTGCTAACTTTGTTGGTTGCAATGCAATTTCCCATTGCCAACCAACTAACAGGTTAACAACTATGGTTTTGGGAAACGCACCCCAGCCTGACATGTCAAGATTTGCTCAACCAATGAGTGAGTTTGGGACGGGGCGATCCATTTACCCAAACAAAGGCAGGCAGGGGAACTGATTTCAAATTGATTCTTTTTGCTATATTAGTGTGGTACGTGTCATCTGAGCACTTCTTTAAATCAGATGCACAGTCTGTCAACCTAAACAAACATTTCACCTTATCAGACACTTCCACAAGATATAGTGTCTTAATATGTATCTTATGTTAACATGGCTCTCTGCTGCACTGTATTACACAACCTCAAGCAACCTTCCTGGATCTTTCTCGACCACAGTTCAAAGTCCTTTCTATGAAGAAAGCATTCAAGAACAAAAATACCACACACCTTTTTATTGAAACAACTCGATCTGTCAAGATCAGCCGAGCAAAAGCAGACACAGAAAACAGCTGTTTTGGATGAACAGTGAAAGCCCAACAGCAACAGGCAAACAGATCCGGGCTGATGGATCTATATTCACCTCTCACCTGCACATCTCTGCAAAGGCCAGGAAATTGAGTTTCTTCATCTTCTTCTCGCTGAGCCAATAGCCCACTCGTCTGCCTCTCAGGAAAGTCTGCATTTCAGCTGCTGATGGCCAGATGTGACCGTAGTGCCACTCCAGTGAAAACAGGAAACAGGAGTCTTCTTATACAGCCCTGTGAAACCAAAGCCACCAGAGATTATTATCAGAGCCTGAAATGATGAAACTGTGAAAAGTGTCAAGTCCGATAACTGACACTGGACAATAAAGAGGCTGAAGATTTACAAAAACAGATTCTGTCCAACATCAATGCTCAAGTTGGACTGTAGATCTCCACGGCTGTGACGCAAACCCAATGAACTGCCTATAGCTAAACTGAACGTTTGGGTATCACAAGCACTTCAGTTGGAATGTTAGTGAGTTTCAATGTTCTATTAGAGCATTCAATTCAAAACATCATGGGATCATGCACCATTCATTAAATGCATCATTTAAAACATCATGGGAAATCAAAGGTTTTAATTTACAAAAAATGTATGCATTACAGGCAAGTACAAGAATGTGGTTTTTTGATCATTCAATTCGAACGCCTGAACTATTTGAAAATCTGATGCATCAATTATGAGTGCGAAAGCTCGAACATTAGATGCGTCATACTTCAGTGTTAAGATTGGATTTGAACATCTGCTGCATTATATGTGAATTCAAAAGGTTTGCTTCGAACATTCAAAGCATTGTGCAGCATTATTCAATGTGTTGACGTAATTTCCACTGAAACAGGAAGACAGGGCGGGTAACATCGAGCAGCTCCTCCCCTTTTTAAAAATAGCCAATACCGTTTAACTTATATCACAGCTTGGCCAGAGCCGTTGAGCTCAGTAAAGCCACAGATTCCTCCTAATCTCCTCCATATCGCTTTAAAATATAAGCATTCTGCATTTTATAATTAGTATTAATATAATTGTTACATTTAATTTACTGCCACACTTTAATATGTGAATTATATTATCAGAAAACTGAACATTTAGCGTTGTAAGGCTTTTATGTGTGCTAAAACAACGCACTCAGCTGCTCATAAACATGGCTGCTATAAATTTGACCTGCCACAAGATGGCGCTGTTTTCGAACACTCTTGATGCTTCGGATCTTTTCCCGAAACATTCAGGGGAAATCCTAAGTGCTTCATGAGGCTTCATTTGCCCATCCCTACCATAGATATCCATAATAAAGGCTAGATATCTTACGGCGGAGTCTCTGTTGTCATCACCGGCGGCCATCTTGTCACAGGCAAGCTTTCTGGCGGCCTCTGTGGTGCCTGATGTAAGATGAGTGATCAGCACGAACACAAATACTCTTATCTCGTTGAAATCGTGACGGATTTACAAACGGTTTGGTTTCTTACAAACGTTATTAACGTGGCTATAATTCTGGATGATTATTTATTTATACACTTAGTATTCATAAGTATGCAGTGTCATAACTACATCTCTGACGTTTATAACAAACCAAAACGTTTGAAAATCGGTAGAAAATTTAGCAAGTTACGGTTATTTAAAAAGTACATGCACCATTAAAACACAATGTAACGAGTAAGCGAGCTGCCTGTGACAAGATGGCCGCCAGGTGCGGACGTCGACCTCCATTGGCCAGCAGCGCGGACGAGACATCTAGCCTTTATTATGGATATCTATGATCCCTACGACTCGCACATATGATCCGCTCTGTGCTATTACGTCTCTGGACTGGTTTGCCCCAACAGAATTCATATTACCCTGTCTGAATCACTCCCTATCCCCTATATAGTGCACTTTGTGCCATTCACCATGCAGAAAATAGTAAATGTGTCAACAAGTGACCGATTTCAACTGCAGCTTGAGCGTCTCATTTATGGTGTTGGGGGCGGAGCTTCAGACTCTAGAGAGCATTTGAATGGACAGAAAATCTAATGAGAAGCTGAAGTGCAGAGTGATGTCATCAAAATCATTGATCCATATTGGCAGAAGAGAGAGACTGTAAGTTTTGAATGCTTATATCTTCTAGATGAGCACACTAGCTTATAGATAACAGTAAGGTTAAAATAGTCATACTAAAATCGCAACATTCTTTGAACATTTCAAAACCTCATTGTTGAGTTCAGAGCCTTGAGAGTTTAAACATTAGATTTAAAAATACGATGCACAACCAGTTCATTTGATAAGAACATTTGATGAACATGCGACTTTGAACTTTCTAAAAAAAAAAAAAAAACATTCAAAGTTTCATAGGCGAGTTTGGTGCATCTTTTGCGAGTTTAACTTTATATTGATTCACAGAATGAATTTTTATTTCTATTAACATGCAATTAATCATGTGCGAAAATTGTACAATTTGCCAGTTCGAAAATTCTATGCGAACATCCAAAGCTTTACGAGTGAGTTCGGAGCATCAATTTAAAATAAATAAAAGAATGCATCACATCATGAGAGTTTAAACGTTTATTCGAATAATCGATCCGTAACATGCGAGTCTGGGCGAAAGATTCGAACATGTGATGCATCACAGAAGAGCCGAAAGTTTCCGATCGCTAGAAAGCACCGAGATCCCCACATATGCTGTCCAGGAAGGGGGCTCACTAGAATTTGAAACACAGCCAACGTGTCCCTTCTGGTTTAAGACTTACTTTCACTGAATCAGAATATAAATACAGTTGATTCTAACGTTACCCATTATACATATTCTGTGCATTTTTGAAAACATCTAAATGTCAAGTATAGGATCCCGTAGGACTCCTGGAATCCGCCATAAACATCCCATTCAGCAGCAGCGCAAACAAGCTAGCACAGTACGTACTTTCACATTCAGATCATCTCAAGTCTTACTGATGGATGTGAGAAAGCTTCAACTCTTGTTTTCTCCCCGGTGGACACACTGAAAGAGCAGATGCAGCAAAGTAAATACCTGTCTAGCGCATGTTTTCGGACTCCGGGTAGATAGCAGTTAGCTAGCTGGAGGACAGTCTGGTCTCCATGACTCGTGTTGTTGTCTGTCTGTCGCTGAGACTGAGAATTAAAGGCTCTCGAAGATGATCAGATGAATCAAATGCGTTCTGCTCTCAGTCCAGACACCTAGAGAGCGAGCACTGCCTCCTCCTGAGGTGGGGCTGGGCTCAGTTCAGTCCAGCTAGCGTGTGTGTGTGTGTGTGTGTTCCTCCTAAAGCATGACAGGAGGTTTGTACTGCTGCTGCTCAGCGCCTGAATCCACTGTGTGAATGTTGCCGCGAGGGGGCGCCAGTGCAACACAATCTCTTATGTTGAAACTTCATAAGCAGAAAACAAGGTAATAAATTCAAACCACTCGCCGTAAAGGTTTTTTTTTTGCGCGCGCGCGTGATAGAAAATACTTGTTTTCAAAGTGTCTTGCGTAAAAGATGACTGCAGTGAATCAGGCTTTATAAACAACAGGTGTTTTTGTATCTCTTGTATTACAAAATATTTATATTTTCTTGGTAATGTTTGATTTTAAGCTCCTAAAATAGATGAAGATTTATGATGTTGCTCCTGCCTGGATAGGCTGACTAAAAAAAACATTGAAAATCTTACTGACCCCAAACTTTAAGGTAGATGGTGTATATAAGACATGTATATTTGTATATGTAAACATTAAAAAAATATATATATACAAAAAATAATAAATGTACTATTATGACCTATACTTTTATACCTGTAATTTAAAAATGTAATATTTTTTTAGCATTTGATTTTTTGCATTGCAACGAGCAACTGATTCTGTATGAAAACATTTATTTCTATAGATTATGAAGTGAAATATGACTGAATGGACAGTTTTTGTGGGATTCATCCATTTATACTTTAACCATCTGGGCTTCTTCGTCCGAAAATGACCGAAAACTTTTACGGTTTGAATTGTTTTTGGTTTTGTTTTGTTTTGCTTCATCGGATGGGGGTGAAACTTGGTGACTTTTGTTATTACCTTGCTTTACCTATATGAAGACACACAAAAAATCAAGGAGATGATTCTGATATGTTAAAGGGTCGTAAAATAAAGTCACACTTAGCTTCCTCCGGTCAAAAATGACCGACATAGGAAATGAATGGGAAATACACAAAAAATAGGAAAACTCAGAGAAACTTTTGGTGGTACAAGCTACAGATCGGCCACTGTGAAACATCAAGAGTGCAAATAAGACCCCCCCCCCCACACACACACACACACATACACAGATAAACAGACTGCAACAGCAAATTTGTAGAATATGTTAAATAAAATCAATAAATGAAAAAAAAAATCTCGCTCAAATGCACACACACAGAGAGAGAGAGATTAACTGGTAAGACTGTAACAGCTAATTTTGAGAATATGCAAAAATAAATAAATAAAAAATACCAATTTATTGCAAAATGTCTGTATAAAGTGTTTTGAATTATCACTAACCATCCCTTATTTTGTTCAATTATTTGAATGATCAAATACTGAGTAACAAAAATGTTTGCATTGTGTTCCCTTTCTAACCAAATGCTATAGTTTGATCGTAATCATAATGCAAAACCTGATACTTATCTAAAAAATGTTGTTAAAAAATAAAGTAGTCTTTTAGAATATCTAAATGTATATCTAAATTAAAAAAATAAAATGAATAAGATAGAGAAATCATGTCTAAAACAACAAAAGGAATCAAAAAGCCTTTCTATGTATTTATATAGGAAGCTATAGGCAGCCTGCAGGCTGGTACAGGACATTGCACACATGTAACTATTTTTAAAGCCACTAGATGGCGCTCTTCTACTTTAACCTTTTTTTTTTTAGGCTGGCACTCTATTTTGATGTGAAATGTTGCATTTATTGAAAAAAAATGAAATAAATATAAAATAAAAAAATATATATTAATTCTAATGGAAAAAATAGCTCATAAAAATTATAATTAATACAAAGTATCATAAAAAAAACTCTAAAAAATAATTAGAAAATATTATAGAACAAAAATATATTTGATTGGTTATCCTGGGAAAAAATAAAGTTAAGTTTTAAGGCTTCGTCCGTTTTTGACCGAGAGGAAGCTAAGTGTAACCCATTTACGAAGAACCCCAGAGGGTTAATTTGCATTTTGTCATTATCAGTAACCCGTTGAATAGTTTAGTAAATCCTGCTCACATGTGCTTTAAATAAACAGAAGATAGAAAAGAGCAATAATACACCAGGGAGCAGATGTTTAATGCTTGTATGTTTGTACAGCTAACATTTCATTGAAGCACTGAGTTGAACAGGTAGACAAAAATAAAGGCACCACAAGACAAACACAGAACCCATTATGTACAACATAAAAAATATATAACTTCCATAATCTTTGGGACTATATGTACAAAGGTTTAAAAATATATATTTACAAACACAAAGCATATTCATGGGAATTTGAGAATAAAAAACAGAAGTGCTTCTGACAGCAATGCACAGGTCATATGAACACCGGTTCAGTGGAGCTCCTCAGCGTCTGGCGGCAGGGCTGGCGAGGAGACCCAGGATGGTGGACAGACAGTGGAGTTTCTCTTTCACCAGCTCTGGTAACTTCTCATTCTCTTTATACCTGAGAGAGGACACAGACAGCGTGACAATTCAGAACAGGAGCACTACCAACATGCAAACAAAAACAGACCTCATTTCATGGTTTTAAGAAATGTCCCTGGCCTTATTATGTAATTATGAAAGTTATATACATTGCAAATACGGTCATTGTTCTTAAATCATTTTTTGAGTTTTGCCATGACAAGCTTTACCTGGTGATTCGTCCATCAGGGGAAGTAAAAGTGATGCAAGAGACGCCAACTTGGACCATCAGCTGGGATCCGTCATTAAACTGAACCCATACCTCGCCACTTGTAAGCTAAAAAAACAAACAAAAAAAAGTTCAATGCTAATACTATAAATACATAAGCAAACTTATAAATATATAATATAATTTAGATTTTATGTTTGTAGATATATCATTTCTAAATATGTAGTTTATATAGTATTATTTATATGCATAGTGGTAGATATATAATATGTATAATACAGGGTTATTATCGTTAAACTCAAACCATAAAAAAAAACATTTTCATTCCTTAAATAAAATAAATATTAACTGAAATCAAATAAAATATAAAAAACTTAAACTGTTTCTAAGTACTAAAATAACTAAAATGTAATAAACTAAAACTTAAATCAAAACTACAGACATAATATAGACAAAACAAATTAAATGGCAAAAACTTTAATATTAAAATGAAAACAGAAAATATAAAAAAATAAATCGAATTCAAAATATTAACAAAACCTATAGCAGTATATCACTGATAATAAATTACACTATAATGAACGGATTAATAAACAAAAGTAAATTAATAAATTATTATTAATAATGACACATGGAACAAATAAATAAATACACTACCACTCAAAAGGTTGCAGACAATATGAAAATTGATACTTTTTCAAAGCAAAGAACTGTGTATGCATATGTTTATATTCATTTAACAATAATAATAATAAAAAGTCAAAGTTTAAATTAATCTTTATATCGCTAAATTATCCAGTCAAACACTTTACCTGAGAGGCCCAGCCAATGTTCGGCACAAAAATGGACTTGAGCACCTTCCCTGTGTTAATGGTGCGATCATCTTTGCCTGACTGAGGGGAGCTGCCTTTAGCCACACTTGCTGTGGTGAAGTCTGATCCCGTGTAGGAAATCATCTAGGCATGAAGAAGACCAATGAGTTACTGTTAATGGAACATTTGATTTCAGAGGGGGACGTACTCTGAAATAAATAGATGTGCTTGGAGATGATATGCATGCATGACTTACTGACGGTGTGATGTGTGGTGGCTGGGGCGGACTCACACACACCTGCGCCACCTCTGCAGGAGCTGCTGTGCCGGAGCCAGAGGAACACTGAGGCTGAGGGAAAGCTGGATTGGTGGGTCTCCTGGTGGAGCATAAGACAACCAGTGTGAGACATCTCATGTATGACATTTAGGGTGTTTTCAGACCTGTATATTGTTTGCTTTGTTCCAAAACAGGGACTTCACTGCATTTTCTTCTTGGTTCAGTTCTCTTTCACCAGGCAGCATTTCAAAGCGTACCGATCAATCCAAGTCACATGTGAGTAAAGCTGTCCTCTTATTGGTCAGAGTTTCCTCTGTGTCATCCATGAAGATGGATAGAAAAGTTCACTCTGCGAGCTTATTGTGTGGTTTTTGTGGCCATCTGGCCAATCAGAGCAGAGTAGGCTCGCGGAAAAGAGGGATTTAGAGAGACTGCATCTTCGGACGAGACGTTTGAATGAATCAATCAATAAGGAACCTTCAAAATAGCATAATAGGGGCACTTAAAAATGTGTCAATATATATAAATGCAGTTAAAGAGGGAATCAAGGAATCTGAATTTGTTGGGACAGCATTCCTGCAATGCACGGAGAAAAGCAATTACACCACATTTTAAGATGAAGAGGCACTTTTCAACTGTGATAACTAATGAGCTCACTCACAGAATCAGACACTGCTGCTTTTTATAGAACACATTTCCTGTTATGAATTATGATAATGCTTGGTCTGTTGGGTCGGATTGCTTTCCGAACTTAACCGAACCACCCCAGAGTTAATTTTTAATTGTTCAGGCCACAGGCGTAACTATCGGTAAGCAGGGTATGCGGTTGCTTACGGGCCCGGACCAATCAGGGGCCCGCGCGTGACTGGAAGATATTGATTGACAGCCGGGCCCCCTAACGCATTTTACTACGTTTAGTCTGATCGCATTTTACTTTATCGCGAATTTATTTGAATAAATAATGACAACAACATAGTGTACTGATCATTAGATACAAGTATGAAAAGAGCAATGATGGATTTTGGTGTAATTTGTTTCGAATTGGGACTGGGGAATCCCCGGGTTGGTAAGTGAACATGCGTATTGCGTGCAAAACAGTAAAAACGATGAACTTGAGACAGACAATATCGACAGGCTACTCCTGATTTTGTCAGTCATCTCATCTCTTACTATGCTGTGTCTCTATGATCATATTAGCCGCTTTCCGACCAAGTAGTTACAGGAACTTAGTTATAGGAACTGTCCACTTCTAAACAGTTCTAAGAACTACTCTCCCCAAACTTGGTTTTGCTGTTTGCGTTCGCACTGGCCAAGTGGCCATAGGAACTGGTAGGAGGGGTAAGGGAGTGACGCAAGCACGGCGG